GAAACGTCAGCCTTCCTGCTCCTCTGATGCTGCATGGCCTGCTGTGTTCATCCAGCTCTACACCTTGTTATCTATTTACAGTAGCTTATTTGTATTCCACAAGGGAAGCATTACTTTGCCATCTGACAAGTTGTAAAGGAAACATGTTTTGTATCATTTCCTGTCAAGACAGATACAATTCTGTTTGGTCTTGAATTTTGTCATATTTATGCAGAAGGAAGAATGGCATATTTTCTAGGCATTTTAATTAATGATAACACAAAATGTGTGCTTGCATAAATAGAGCAATGAATCAATCTTTGAATGCACATAAATGGTTGATATCATCAAAGTCAATTTAGTACTTTGTGCATCTTACATCTCAAAAAAAATCCTATTTATTTTAAAAAATCTGGAGTTGATCGAAGGAACAATTTAATGAAATCAGTAAGCTGTAATTGGTGAATTATGAAGAGGGATTTTGGAACAATTTTCCTGAAATCCTGCAAGTATTTATTTAAAAATTCGTTACAGCCAAAAGCATTCTATTCCAATTTCAGCCATTTAAGTAGGTACGTCAAATTGTGCCTTAAGCCATGAATTAGCTTGATGTGCAAGGACTTAATTTTAACTGTACAACAATTCACTTTGGAGAAGGGATCACATAAAGATACATATTTGAGAAGAGTGCTTCATGGTTGGTGTAACTTGAATGTGCTGACTCATCGAATGATGGGATGGAAGGTTGTGCCCGTTATGTAGCACACTGCTGATTTCCTGCTGGTGCTTTTGTTGATTGGAAAGAGACACTTCAGTACGTCTTCTCCATTAGAGGACAGTCCAGAGGCAGAGAGCCTGAAAAGAGGGTTAGTGGGATGAAAAAGCAGCAATAAGGCTTCAAACTGAGTTCAGGAAAGTTTTAATTATTTATTACAACCAATTAAAGAGGGTGATGCATTAAAATGACAGCGTACTGTAATACACTGTTACAATAAGACCAGTCATGATCACTGTTCTGCAGATGACGAGATGCAGTCATAGTCTGTGATATTACTTAATATGTCAGTTGAGTCTTTTACAAAGTATGCTGTTGTTATTTTAGATAGTTTGCTCCATTACATTGCAGGAATTCCAGGGGAAAAAGACAAGATTGATCATTATATGTTCTTGTCCTTTGTTCAGCAATGCAGAGCACTGCAACCCTACATCTCGTTCATGACAACTTATTATTTAAAATATAGTTTTGTCTGGAAAATATATTTATTGTGCAAATCTAGCAATAAGAATTCCATGCTACTGTTCATACTGCAAATTAAAGTAGTATCTGACCTGAAGGTTAATAAACACACAGTAGGCAACACTTAATCAATAACAATGTGGAGAGCAAATTGTTTTGCAATTACAGAGGCATCCAGATCATTTTGTATTTAAATAATAAAGGATCCTTTAGCTTTGTGAAGTATTAGCAGACAAACAAGCAATATTTGTGACTGTGATTGACAAGAACTTTTTGGACATGCTTTTTCATGTGCAGTATTTACAATAGCTGGTGCAAATATGCAAGTGGCAACATTCATTAGATTGCTGATACACCCATACAGAGCCCTTACACACTGACATCAGTCTTTGAATATATGTTTCCTGAAATAGATTTTGTGTCAGCTCTGAATTAGGTGATTGTGAAATTTTTAGTTTGCAATTTAATTCTGATTGGATATTAATGAAACTGTGATCCAAATGTGCAGTTGTGTTCTCCCTGCCATAGGAAGGATGTTGTGAAACTTGAAAGGGTTCAGAAAAGATTTACCAGGATGTTGCCAGGGTTGGAGGGTTTGAGCTATAGGGAAAGGCTGAATAGGCTGGGGCTAATTTCCCTGGAGCGTCGGAGGCTGAGGGGTGACCTCATAGAGGTTTATAAAATCAGGAGGGGCATGGATAGGGTGAATAGCCAAGATCTTTTCCCTGAGGTGGAGGAGTCCAAAACTAGAGGGCACAGGTCTAAGATAAGAGGGGAAAGATTTAAAAGCGACCTAAGGGGCAGCTTTTTCACGCAGAGGGTAGTGCGTGTATGCAATGAGCTGGCTGAGGAAATGGTGGAGGCTGGTATAATTACAACATTTAAAAGGCATTTGAACGTATGTATGAATTAGAAGGGTGTAGAGAGATATGGACCAAATGCTGGCAAATGGGACTAGATTAATTTAGGATATTTGGACAAATTGGACCAAAGCGTCTTTTTCCATGCTGTACAGCCGTATGACTGTATGACTCTATGTGGGTGCGTTTTGCAGAGAAACAATTGTCTGTGGTGTTTTTTTCCCCAACGTAACCACAGATAATGATTAATTATTATTAATACATTGATGCCGAAGTGGAATGAAGTAGTTTTATTTGTGTGACTGAGAGATGGTGTGAATGTAAAACAGGTGTATGTGTTGAAGGAGTAGATAGTTCAGAGGAAGAGATCACTGTTGATGTACATTTTATTGCGCAATTAGAATATGAATAAGGAAGAGAAATGTGCAGCTATCTGGAGAAATTGAATAAGCTGGGGATGATCTCCTTGGAAGAGAAAAGGCTGAGGGGAGCTTTGCTTGTGGTATGTGAGGTTTTGAGGGAGATCAACAACCCGAGCAATCTTTGAAAGGTTGCTGTGCACCCAGACAAATGTTGGCAGTCCAACATTGCCCACTAACTGACTGCACAATGGCACAGTACCTGCAAAGTCACACTGTCCCCATGGCTGACCCTCCCTCACACATATAATCCCATTCTGTCACCCTCTTGTCAGTGGTTAAACTCCGGGCCACGCAGTTTACCAGCCCCTAGCTACATGCCATCTAAACACCCTCTAAGACATGGATACTCTGCTCCCAGTATCAGTTGGACCGCCTCATCTTGTTATTGCCCAGTAGGGGAACATCGCAGACATCCAGCAACTAGACAAATCCAAAGATGAGCTTTTAATTGTAGACAGCAAAAGGGAACACACCAATAAAGGCTGCAGTTTACCCCTTTCCCCATGCAAATGAAATGCTGACATCATGACTAATGACTATTTTTTCATTCCACGATGGTCTGCTACAGCCAGTTGTCTTTGGCCGGAGCTGGGTGTCAGACAGCACTTGTCTGTCATGTATCACCTCATGCAGCTGAGATCTATCACCTGCCAGATTCCTCACTGCAGCCCTCCTCCTTGGAAGTCTGCCCTCATTCACCTGCCTCCTCAGCAGCTGTCATATCACCTCGCTGCCTGATTGAATTGTGCAGAGCACAGCACGCCAAGGTGATGTGACACACTCTGTCTGCACTATACAGGATAGCTCCCCTTCCACCCCCACCTGCTATGGCCCTCCTCACAACACTGGCTGAGCGACCAACATATTACAGCAACAAGGATGATAAGCCCCATCCCATTCCATCCCAGACCCACTTTAACAAATTTCCCTTTCCACTGCATTCATTAGAGTCCATCTTCATCCTTACATGATGCAGCTTACCTTCCCACCAGCATCCACATCCAAACAATCAAACACTGCCATTTCTATCACCTCTAGTGGGATGCTACGACTGGTCACATATTCTCCTTCCCTCCCTTGTCAGCTTTCCACAAGGTCCATTCCCTCTGGGACACCCTAGTCCACTCTCCTCCTCCACTGCCAACACCTCCTCATACCCCCACAGCAGAAGGTGTAGCAACTGTCCATTTACCTCCTCCCTTCTCCGTATCCAAGCCCCAAACACATCTTCCAGGTGAAGCAACAATTTATATGCATGTCACTCAATCTTGTCTACTGTATTTGCTGCTCACAATGTGGTCTCTTTGTACATTGGGAAGACAAAGCATAGACTGGAAGACTGTTTTGTGGAACGCTACATCCTACCTATAAAAATGACTCTGCAGCTTCCAATTGCCTGCCACTTCAACATACCATCATGTTCCCACACCAATATTTCAGTCTCAGGATTGCTGCAGAGTCCTGCAAAGCTTTGCGCATTCTTCAAAAACAGCATCTCATTTTCTGCTTGAGGATCCTGCAGCCTCTCAGACTCAACATACAGTTCAATAACTTTAAGCCTGATTTTGTCCTTACATGTTTTTAACAGACACCTGCACTCGCTCCTGTTATGACATGGGTTGCTTTCGGCATAGCCAACGCATTCTTACCCACTCCTCATCCTATAATCACATTGTGTGGGCTGCTTTCAGCACAGCCTGCTATTTTCTCCTATTCTTAGCCCACATTACCATTTACTCAGCTTCTCTTCTGTCCTGGCTTTTCTATCAATACCCTCATCTGCCCATCTCTTTCACATCTCTCATTCTAGACTGTGACTCCATCCAACTGCTTACATTTCCCCACAAACCGATCTCCACCATAATTATGTTTCAGAGATAGTAGGAAATGCAGATGCTGGAGAATCTGAGATAACAAGGTGTAGAGTTGGGTGAACACAACAGGCCAAGCAGCATCAGAGGAGCAGGAAAGCTGACGTTTCGGGCCTAGACCCTTCTTCAGAAATGGTTTCTTCAGAAATGATTGATTGATTCAGACCATTTCTGAAGAAGGGTCTAGGCCCAAAACATCAGCTTTCCTGCTCCTCTGATGCTGCTTGGCCTGCTGTGTTCATCCAGCTCTGCACCTTATTATCTCCACCATAATTATCATTGTTTCCTAGCTATTGTTTGTTCTGATGAAGAGTTACTGGTGAAGAAACTTTAACTCTGTTTTCTCCCCATAGATGGTGCCAGACCTGCTAAGTTTCTTCAGTAATTTGTTTTTGTTTCAGATCTCCAGCATCTGGAGTTCTTTGGGTTTTTTTTCTCTAGTAGACTGGACTACAAGGATGCAGAAAACAAGAGTAGGAGTTACACAATTAATAGTAGGGCTCTGTTGTAGAACAGATAAACCCTAAGGGTTCAGGTACACAATTCTTTGAAATTTGCATCACAAGTAGACAGGGTGGTTAAGAAGGCATTTAGCACGTGTGCCTTCATTGGTCAGACCTTTGAGTACAGGAGTCAGAACGTCATATTAACATTGTACAAGATGTTGGTGCAACCACTTTTGGAGTACTATGTCCAGTTCTGGTTACACTGCTAAAGGAAGGCTATTATTAAATTGGAGAGGATTCAGAAAAGCTATACCAGCATGTTGTTGGGAATGGAGGGTTTGAGTTATAAAAATAGGTTAGTTAGGCTGGGACTTTTTTCACTGGAGCTTAGGAGGTTGAGGGGTAACCTAATAGAGGTTTATAAAATCATGAGGGGCATAGATAAGGTGAATAGCAAGGATCTTTTCCCTAGAGTAGGGAGTTAAAAACTAGAGGGCATATTTTTAAGGTGAGAGGAGAAAGATTTAAAAAGGACCTGACGGGCAACTTTTTTACACAGAGAGTGGTCGTGTGTGAAATTAACTTCCAGAGGAAGTGGTAGATGCAGGCACATTACAACATTTGAAAGACATTTGGATACGTACATGAATAGGAAAGGGTTGCAGAAATATAGGCCAAATGCAGGCAACTGGGGCCAGTTTAGTTTGGGAACATGGTTGGCATTGACTAGTTGGACTGAAGTATTTGTTTCCATGCTGTATGATTCTATGACTCCTTAACTCTATAGATTATACTGCAGTTATACAAAACCTTGGTTAGACCCCAGTTGCAGCACTGTGAGCAGATCTGGGCACCACACCTTAGGAAGGATATGATTGATTGATTAATTTCTTGTCATGTGAACCAAAATACAGCGAAAAGCTTTGTTTACGAGCGGTACAGGCTGATCACAGCTAGCAGAGGATATACGAATCAAAAAATGGCATGCAGGTTACATTGCAGGTTACGTTAATTGAGGCTAGAGTCAATA